CACTGAAATTATTGGTCAACAGTGGGGCACGCACTGATATTGTGAATAGGTCAGTAGTGTATCATTTGAATGTACATATTTATCGTGATATTTTTTATGTATATATATATAGATAGATGGGTGGATATAGGTGTGCATGCATGTGTGAGGGAGAGGGAGGGAGAGAGAGAGAGTGTGAGTTGAGTGAGTGAGTGTGTGTGTGTGTGTGGTGTGTGTTGTGTGTGTGTGTGTGTGTGTGTGGTGTGTGTGTGTGTGTGTGTGTGTGTGAGTGTTGTGTGTGGGAGGGGGGGGGGTTAATATATTGTATATGTGAATATATGTATATTTATATATATATTACCTACATATATATAGATAGATAGATAGATATGAATATATATATATATATATATATATATATATATATATATATATATATATATATATAATATATATATATATATATATATATTATATAATGTGTGTGTAAATTTATATAGAATCATGATACTATTTAGATTTGTAATGTTTGCTATAATTTTGTACAAGGATTGATGTGTTTCGAAGCATGAAACTATTGCTACTTTAGTTATTACTTTGGTACTAATAGAATTAACATTGACTTCTTTCTTTCTTTCTTTTTATTTCCTGCAGATTTGATTTCAGGGTCCTGTCAAATTTACCACCACTTTTTTATCTTTGCAGGGAGAAGAAGACCCCACGTATGCTTGCCAAGAGTGGAACCGTTATCACAATACTAGAAGAGTGCACACAGACTAGCAGTCGTAAATCATCAGGTTTTGACCACCAGGAATACGGTGCGAATGACTCCGAGGATTCTGACAGCTGAAGGTACCGGTGGAATGAGGAATGAGATTGATTAAGAAAGTGTAATATCGGAATGGTATACTTTTATCGATTTTTTTTATATTTCTCTTTTTTATATAGAAGAATGGTCTTTTATTGTAAAAAGGTAAAAAGAAAAAAATGTTTTTTTTTTTTTTTCAACAATGGCCCTAGAAACCTTTTTTTTTTAAGTGTCATGATAATCTGATACCAAAATACTTGTGCCTTTTGACCTGTAATGGGCTTTCATATGAACAAGGTGCCAATTTATTTTGTAATGTTAAGAGAAGTCATATATTTTGATGTTTAAAAAAAAAAGATATGTAGCTAAAAGTAATGTGAGATTAGCAAAGTAGCAATTTAGATTTAGGTGTCAGAATAACAGTAAAGGCCACGCATGTATAGACCATCTTTTACACTGGACAAAATAAGTGTTCGATTTGCTAGGTACGTCTGCATCAATACAAAGGAACGGGGAAATATATTGCAGTCTTAAAGATGCTATGATCGTTAGAAATTCATAATTAGGATTTTGAAGTTGACGGCAGAAAGTATTATTAAGAATGAGAAAATACAAAAAACAGAGGCCTTTAATAACAGCTGTAGAATATAGCTTAATAAAGCTGAAGTTGAGTTTTATCTTATGAAACTTCAGTGCAGTTCCTAGTTTTATGTACATTTCCGATGTGAGTAATACTGACGTTTTCCAGAACTAAGCTTAGAGGAATTTTTATGATTTTGATTTTAAATATCCATTGAAGAGTTTGGAATAAGTGGAGGAATAAAACAGGTAGGTATGTAATAACAAACTTGCCTTAAGTGCTTTTTGCTATGTTTGTTGGAAAATGTTATTACCATATTTCCATTTTGATGTAAGAAAGAAAAAATGAATAAGGTATTTCATGATATACAGTACATTAAGTAGAAGGTTGAATGATATAAGGTAAAGCCTTATAAGACAACCAATGAAGTTGAAGTTTATTTCGTATTCACATCAATATAAACATTCAAAGGATTTTTATAGCAGTGTCCAAAGGAAACGTATATTTTTGTTTGGTAATATTTTTTATTTATTTATTTATTTTTTTTTTTTTTTTTTTTTCGGTGAATGGTGTGAATGGAAGTTATTGTAAAATGATAACAAGGAATATCCTCAGAGAGAGGAGTGTGTCATTCATTAACTTGAAATTCTAGCTTTATCATCATTTAGAAAAGTAATGTGGTATTTCATTAATTAGTGATATTTTAGAAAGGATATTTACATGGTTTCACCCGGAAATAGAAACCATTTATTTTCTTTTGTTGAGCAATACCAATTTTATTAAAATCAAATTATATCAAGGGGTCATAGCACCAGTGCAGAGTTTCAGATGATTTTTTTTTAGTTACCCCATAAAATTGCTTGTATTTACATTTGTTAGATGGCTGTTGATAATTTAGAAATTTACAATTTCTTTGCTAAAAGATTATATGATATGATAAAGTTTGTACAATTTGCACATAATATACAGAATATTTTAAAATGATAACAAAATCATGTGTAAAGTACAGCTCATAATCTATATATCACCAACATAAACAGTACTCATCAAAAGTGTGGCCCCTATCCCTTGCAGCCACATATTCCCGCAGAGCTGAGTGTGACAGAGAACCCAGCCACTCGCCCCCATGCTGTTGTAGGAAGAGGATGCTTATACACCCTCTCTTTTCTGGACCATGCCCCTTTTTACGCTAGGTTCCTTTATTTCCCTAAGGTTTGCATCATTACCGTGGTACCTGCAAAGGAATTAATTAAAGACGTAATTACCCAGATCATTGGATTAAAAATGTCGACTATGGCACTAAAGAAATCAGTGTTTTGTTGAATATGGCCAAGACTTAAGTTAGGAAATACATGGCACAATTTTGGAAGGGTGGAGGGCTGGAGGCACCTTCCCAGATACCTAGGAAGACTTCTCGAGCAAGATTTCTAAAGGAAAGCAACCCTGAAGTGTATTGGGACACCTCCATGGGTCCATTCCCATGTTTTGTGCAGAAGTTGGATTACACCAGCCATGCACCAAGGAAGAAACCTCTTCTACCAAAGGGACAAAGAGTTGCAGTTTTTCTTTCTTTTTTTTTTTGTATGAAATCTTAGTGCTCTGGTCAGATGAGACTGCATTTGACATTGCATGCAACCATGAAAGCCATGTGTACAGGGGAAAAGGCATGATCATGACAATGTGCATCACACAGTAATAACCCAGACTTGCTCATACTGTGGCATTGTTTTACTGGCAGGGGTTTGGGGAAACGTTCTTCCAAAGAATATCAGAATTAACCATCATATCTACCCGGAATTGCTGTGTGACTTTCCACCTGATTCTTTCGAGCTCACCAAGGCTAGCATTTCCCTGTACGATGGTGTCTCTTCCCACACAGCAAAATCTGTGGCCCTGTGGCTTGAAGACTGCATGGTACCCTTTATAAAGGATCAGCCAGACAAAAGCCCAGATCTGAATCCTATTGAAAATTTGTAGCTCATTATAGTGAAAGATTTACTGGTGAAGGACATCAGTTCAGGACCTAAGCTTGAGGCAGTCATTCTGATTCCTGGGAAAATAACTCACATGACATACTCAAAATACTTGTTTTGTCACTTCCTAGATGTATTGAGCTTGTAAAGATAAAGAAAGGCAATCTTATCAAGTAGTAAAATGGAAACAAAACACTTTTTCGTGTGAATTCCTCAGTGCATTCACTGATAAGCAGGGTGGGAAAGATTGGATGCATACTTTTGATGAGTACTTTATGTATATATTCATTGTGCAATATAAGTTACCATTATTTACATTCCCCTTTACTCTTTCTCTCGCCTTCTAGTATTCTGAATTAATACTAATGTTTCAACGTCCTCAGAGCAATTTGACTCCCCTGGAAGCCACTCCCACCTGATTGAGGCCTAGAATAGCATTACACAGTTTCCTTCCCTGTACAACTTTTGTATAAAGCTCATGTCTCCTTTCCGATGTTTAAACAGTAGAGAACTTAAGGTTCTTTCATCAAAATCAGAAGTTCAGATCACCATTCATCTTGAGAGAAGGAGAACATGAACTTGACGTGCTGGATTGCAATTTTGTTTACGATCTAAGACTTTATGCCTTCAGCATATGATCAGCATTACTTGACATTGTAAGGAATACTGGATCAGCATCATATATATATATATCAGTTAAGGCAAGCAAAATACTGATCACCAAAGCCAAACTTAACAGCTACATCAGCATACATTTTAGTTGCCTCTACTGCGGTTGCATATAATGTTGTTCCTATGCTCATCATGACTTATCTTCAGCATAAAAGCAGACTTTGGAAAATGTATACATAATTTTGAACATTACTTCCTCAGCTCTGATTTATCACTACAATATCTGTTGTCAAACAAATGCAAAAGTGAGTAGAAAAAGACCCGCCATCTGACTCCACATAGAACAAACTTCCTAGCAATATCTAGATTTGTTGCTGTATTTTTAAACACCATGGAGAAGAATGACAGTAAATTTTAGAAAAAAAGTCCAGAAAATATATTTAAAAATATACAGAAAATTTTTTCAAGTATAGATGATTTTAAAAGGCAACTTGAGTAGAAATCCTTCTGTACATCTGCAACAGTGATGGTGGTGCAAACCCAGGATATTCTTCGATTTTGATAAAGTTGGCAGTTTTGGAGAGAGCATTAGTCTTTTTCCAATGGAAAATACAACATTCCAAAGTCAACATTTTTGAAATACACATACTCACACACATATATATGCACACATGCACTTACACATGCACAAACACATTCACATACATGCACTTGTTATGGCACTCATGCACTTTCATATAGAAACTTGTACATGCACTTGCACATGCACACATTGCACGTGCAGGCACACACACACACACATACATTGCACACACGCACACGCACACACAGACACAGACACATGCACACGCACAGACACACGCACATGCACAGACACACGCACACACACACACACAAACACACACACATATACAAACACACACACATGAATATGTTATCCAGTGAAAACAGGAAGACCTTATGATATAGACTTGTATGTAATAGAATGGATAAGAAAAGGTGAACGTGATGAGCATAGTTCCATTTTACGCTTTAGACTTATGTTTAGATCTTTCGTGTTTTCCTGTTCCTTCAAAAGGCTCATGGCGACGTAAAGAAGCGTTTAGTAAAAAGGGTTGGGGAGGGCTATCCAGGTGTTGTGCTGTTGTGGCATGATTGTTATAAATAGAAGGTAAAGTCCGGGCGGTCAGTGGATAAGGAGTCCCAGGGTGGGAGGACAGGACTTCCCTATACACATCATTTTGAGTAATTATCTTGGTTTTAAATCAAGGAAGGTTGCGAAAATTGGATATATCGTTATCATTTATCCTGTAACTTGTACAACACATGAGGTATCCTTGAGCCTAGGGTAAAGCTTTCTAACACACTAGGATTTATTTGAGTTGGGGATCTTTAAATTCACGAGTCTTCAGTGAGGTTGTCTCTTTTTCTAAATTGAATTGCACTTGCAAAATACAGGCAGTTTGAACTTTACTGGTTAACAGAGTACTTCCTGCTTAGGTGTAATGTGGTGTTTGTTACTTAAAAAAAAGTTTTATTTGTAGGATTATATGTAAAACATATATATTTGAGAATATGATATATTGTTGAAAGCAAGTCATTTGTATATTTAAATAATCATATATGAAAATTGAATATATTTAAGAAATTAATTGAAAGTTTGAAAACAGAAGGGAAAGATGTCTATTTTTTTCCTTTCAAATATAGTGAGCTGTGTGTATTGCAACATCTATTCTCTAAAACCTAAAAGAAAGATGTTGGATAGGACATTCAAACATTTGTATCTCCTTTTGCTTTATGTATTTTTAGCATTGTTTGATATAATCAAATTAATTTGTGTAAAGAGGGATCTTAGAAGGCACAATGTAGGCCTCATGCCTTTGTTTATCATATGTGGCATAGGTTTGTGTCTATCAGTGGTGCCACAGCCTGAGGCAGGTCAGCAGTGGCACATGCCAAAGAAAAAATCCTTTCCAGTGTGTGTGTGTTTAAGCATGTGTGTGAATGGAGAGGATTAGCCAAGAACTATGCCATTTTCCTATACATCTTGAACTCTAGCTCAAGATGCATAGGAAAGTATAGTTATTCAAGGTCTGTGTACACCAATTACAATACTGTTCACTCTATTATCTGGTTGGGTTTGCAGAGCGGTAACTGGGCACTCTTTTACCACTCACCACCAGTGACCTTTGTTGTTGATGCAGCAGATGATTTTATATTATTATTCTTTCCTCCTGCATACAGTGGCATGCAGAGGCCTGGTGATGGCCTGGGCCAACCCCTTGATTGTATTCCCAGAAGACTCAAGTATAAGGCCTAGTACTGAGAAATATTAAGGGATATATTTTGAGTATGTAAACACAGATGGAACAGGAGATGAACACTTCATTCTGTTTGAATATAACAGTAGTATGCTTAAATAAATTGTGGAATACATGCAATGAAGCACAAAATCCTCTAAGTTATAATACCGTAAAAAATCAACTCGTATCCCAAAGTAATGCGAGAATAAGAACTTGGCATTTTTGAAACTGATGGACCTAAAGTTATATTATAACTAAGACCTACAATTGTGAAGATTCTAGTGTAAGAAAATTGTGCTAAGAACTGATTTGCATCACACAATTTCTTTAAGCATATGGGCATTAATTTCAAAATAACTATCACTATTTCCCTCTCTGGTTGGATGCCCGGGGCCACCACCCCTTCTGCACACCACTGCCTGCATAGTAGGTACTTTTTACTTTTCAAATTGCAAAGTTAAAGTTTTAAATGCCAGTGAGAGTTGTGCCTTATTTAAGTGTTTTCACTGTGATGTTCAGAAGTTGGATAAATCTGTTCATGTATCATGAGAGTGCCTGAAACCTGTTTGCTTTTTCTAGAATCATTATCAACTCCTGGAAGACAAGATAGTGTAAGCACAGGATAAAAGCATTATGCTTAACACATGATAATAACAAAGCAGAAGATTTAACAAGTCAAAAGAAAAAAAAAATACTTTTCTTCCTCCTGTGTACTGCACAGACCTGAGTATGACTATGCTGTATAAGGTGTTCAGGGTGGAAGAAAGCATGACACAAAAACATTGCATTAAACAAATTACAAAAAAATATGGTATAATAACTTTTACCAGCTTTCTCCTTAGATAATGATCATCCCATATTGTCCTTCAGGAGTTAATTCCAGTATACGCAATACGTTTTCTTTCTGTCTTTTTTTCTGTAATGTAATATTTTCTGTTTGCACATTCAGTAGGTTGTGATTTTACATACATTTATGCTGAACCAAAAAATATTTTTTGAATTGTTGGAAACAGAAAATGTTAACTAAAACTGCAGAATTTATATGTGCATCATTATTGATATTCTAAGATGTGTATTAATGTGTAAAAGAAGTTTAAATTTACATCTGAAACATCCATTCCGTGCCTTATGTAAAGGTGTTGCTTGGCTGCTTGGCCTATAGCATTCCATTGTAAGTGCCTCATCTGTCAATGATTAGCGTATTGAAGTGTATGAGTGCAGAAAATAAGAAAAAAATAATTTTCACAGACTAAAAAAATGGATCTTTTTATGCATTCTATATTTTATTTACTGTTTAATAGTCAAAGATTGAGAGTTTTTCTACTATATTTATGCAATTAAATTCTTTAGCAAATGAATTATTATTAAAAAAAAAAAAAAAAATTGTATATTGAATATGTTTCTTCAGTTGTTATACTTGGTCATTCATTCAGATTATTTAAACCAAAGAAAAAAAAGAGTCAAGTTTTATGAAATGTGTGAAGGTGAAACCATTTCTATACATCTTTTAATGTATTTTTATAGTCTGGAATAAAATGTAAAGTACAACTTCTCTGTCAATTTCTTTTAATAATTTCTGGTACTTGTGCTAAGTGGAACCTGGGTATTAATTCCACTGTATTAAAAAAAAAAAAAAAAAAAATGGGTAAAGTGGATGACAGGAATGTCTGATCATGGAAAAAATTTGGCCGAGGGCTAAGGTCACAGAGTGTCATCGTGAGGTATTGTAGCTGAGCAGCAAGTGATGAGATATCCTGTCATAAGGGCTCAAAACCCTTGGGGGGGGGGAGAGAGAGAGAGAGAGAGAGAGAGAGAGAGAGAGAGAGAGAGAGAGAGAGAGAGAGAGAGAGAGAGAGAGAGAGAGAGAGAGAGAGAAGAGAGAGAGAGAGAGAGAGAGAGAGAGAGAGAGAGAGAGAGAGAGAGAGAGAGAGAGAGAGAGACTGTGTGGGCCATTGGGAAGGAGCTCTTGCATTACTTCCACTGATAAATGGTGTTGGAACGTACTATCTGTGAGCCATCCGCAGTAAACCTATTCCTGCCTGCCTTAACTGGCAGCGCAAGGTGTATTACAGAAAATTGAATGTCACCATTGAGCAAGTTACGAGAAGTACCTGTCTCACCTGTTTAACCTTTTCCTTAATTTTCAATAATATTTTCTAGTGTTTGTTTATAATAAAAATAACTACATCAATATTGATAGCATTAGGAAAAATCATTTTTCCTGCCAACTCAAGGAAAGATGAGGTCACAAGATCTAATTGACTCCTTTGTGGCTATGCACTGCCAGAGCCATCTATGTGCACAGACATCTAACATAATAACTCTAAAGTGAACGCATCTGGTTCTAGGCAGCACTGGGTTAATGGAGAGATAATATAAAGTCTGCTCAAAGAGAACAGTCTATTACTAATCTTCCTACTGCATAACAAATGAAAAATATAGACCTTGGAAATGGCAAACCAGTATGTGTCATAGCAAAGCAGAGGCAAGGAGTCTTGCCTCTGCACATGAGTGTGTGCGTACACCAAACATACAGAAACACACCATGGAAAGTCCTCACACAAGTAAGCCTAATGTCCGAATTTTGATCAACATACTCCCAGATCCCTCCCAATGCTATTCCATTGTTGTTGTAGGGGGAATAGGAAATGGAAACTGAAGCCCAAATTGGGGATCTCCCAAAACTAGGGCCTTAGCCCTCAGCTCAACCAATTTTGCAGTCATTTCTTCTGCCCTTTTCTTTTCTTTGTCTTCTCCAACACCAACCCATTTTCCCAAGATGTGAGAGCCATGTTGAAGGGATAAGCTGAAGGGTGGGAAAGCTGCAGGCATATGCAATATCCCTGCTGAACTCTTAAAGGCGGGGGGTGAACCAATGGCACCGGACTTGCATTCCCCGACCTGTTGAGGGTCGTGGTCATCCCTCTTTGGAAGGGGAAAGGCAATTGTTGGGACTTTAGCAACAACCATGGCATCACGTTGCTCAGTATACCAGGCAAGGTTTTCACCCACATTCTTCTCTGAAATAGATCTGCTACTACCTGCTAAGGCACCAAAGACCGGAGCAAGTCCACAATACCATATCCTAGCACTTCGACTCATTGTGGAATGCTGTCTTGATTTTGGATGTGGGCTGCCTGTAGCCTACATCAACCTCAAGAAGGAATTTGACTCGGTGTATTGTGAATCACTGTGGGAGATCCTGAGACTTAGGGGGATTCCGATATGGATTATTGGTTTAATAGAAAGCCTATATACTGGTACTGAAAGTGCATGTAAAGGTGATGTGGGCCTGTTGAACTTCTTTCCAGTTAACTCAGGAGTGAGGTATGGCTGTGTCCTTGCACCAACACTGTTCAACACTTGCATGGACTGGATAATGGGCAGAACGACTATTCAGTCACTGTGGAGCAACACTGGGAATGTTGAGGTCACGGACCTCGACTTTGCTGACAATGTTGCAATCCCGAGTCTCTGGAATCTCTGATGTCGGCTCTTGATGCATTCAGCAATGAGGCGAACCCTCTGGGCTTAGAGGTCTCCTGGACCAAGATCAAGATCCAGGATTTGGGGGGCCTGTTAGGGGAACCTTGCAGCAAGAGCATTGAAGTCACAGAGGGCTTTACATACCTTGGTAGTGCAGTCCATGTCTCGGGGCTGTCAGACCAGGAAGTTAGTAGGAGCCATGAACTCAGTCAACAAGTGTATTTAGAGTTGCTGGTATCTATGCAGGACTAACTTGCGTGTCCCCAAGGCTTTGACTGCCAGTTCTGCTCAGCTGAAGTGAAAGCTGGAAGCTATCCAGTGCCTTTGTAACAAGCCCCTATGCTGGATCATGGGGTACAGTTGGCAGGACCATGTGTCCAACCTACAACTTTACCATGAGACTGGCATGGGACCTGTTACTTGCATAATCCGTGACCACCACCATCTTGTTTCCCTGTGGATGATCCTGCCCATCAGGTTGCCCTTTACAAGACACTTGCATGGAAGAGGCCCATAGGAAGACCTAGGAAGGTGTGAATTGAGCAGTTGCATCAGACCTGTCATGAAGAGCTAAAGATGGACCGAGGACCTGCCTGGCTGCTCGCCATGAAGGACCCCTGTAGCTGGAATGGTGAATGGTTGAAACAATAAATGTGCTAGACATCAAAGGCCATATAGCACTATAATAAAGTATTATGGCAAAAGGGTAGAGAAGAATTAAAAATTAGGGTAAAACGTGTTAGATGTCAGTTTAGAGCCTTTCAACCTTTCAGCATGGCTCTCAAACCTTACGAATGGGACAGAAGAAGGGGATGAAGATATGTAAGAGGAAAGGTGAAGCATCCTAATATGAATTATACTTTGATTTTCACTGTAGATCTCAAGAGAGTGAAGTATCTGAGGGTACTGAGACAATATTAAATCAGAAACCTTTATTCATAATGACACATTTATCAATATTGCAAAAATATTACACCCTTGATCTACAATATTTACAATTCAGTGCTTTGGAAAAATGTGACTTTTCTTTGCTAAATTTGATTATCCTCTATACATTAGTAAGACTAATTTTCTTGTATTAAACAACCACTTAATTATCTGACGAAACAGAAATTCCAAGCTAATACCATACTCAAAAGCCTCCCATTAAAATACAGTTCCAACAATCAATGAAATGCATGGGTGATATTGCAGAAAATAATATTATATCCGTAATGACAGCACCTATGAACTCATTCATACAATTCACATTCCTATAAATACAACACACAGACTAATGTAACACCATCAATTTGTTCATTTATTTCTATGGAGGTAAAAATAAGATCAGTTTTATTGTACAAGGAACAAAAAATAATAAATAAATAAACAAAATGAACAATAATACAGCAAATATACAGTAAGCCTTGACTCATATTTTAGTAACCTTAGATTTCTTTTAAAATTTCATCTTAACACACTAGCATACCTAAGTGATTGATATAAATCAGCATCGGTGCAAGTTTTCAACATATCACATTGGCAAGATCACCATTAAAATAATAATTCACCTGCAGTACAGACAGCCTAATTAGTATTGCATTTTAAGCCACTCTCGATCAGAGGAAAGATCAATGACAAAACTGATTTCTACCTACAACACAATTTCTCTCTCTGAACTCCTGGTATAGCTTAAATACTTACAGTGATGCTGATGAAATTACTTCAGTTTCTGGAGTTCTACAAGCAAGTGTCCTGATGCTTGAGCAAAGCACACAATATCACACATTTCAATAAAAGTACCTTGATCTTCTCCATAATATATAAAATAATATAAATATATAATAATCTGAGATAATGATAATAATAATGAAATAATAATATAATTTAATAATAATTATAGACAAATATTATAAACAAAAGAGGAAAATGAACTGAAAAATAAAGGTTGAAGTGAAAAGGAAAACATTGGCACACCATAGCAGAAATGAAAAGCAAAATCATAATTCCAAAGAATATTTCTAGAGTCAACATGTTACTTCTCTCCCTCTATAATTATATTTAGACACCCAAAGGTATAGCAACCATAGTTTCCATACCAAAGATTCTGCATATAGCAACCAAGAAAGTGATAACCAATAAATTAATGCCATAAATGTGTTTCAGGGAAGAAAAGTGCACAGCATCAGAATACAGAGAAAATGGAAAACTAATATTTGTTGTCACACATTACTATTTTTTTTACTACCCTTCTCAATATCAAGTGTTCACTACAACAAATGATTTTTAATTTGAAATTAAATGCTTCAATAAAGTTAATTAAAATAAAATATAGCAATTTAGGACATCAAGTGTGTGAATAAAGGTTTGCTTTTGTGTAATATTGAAAGTGTATTCCTGAAAGTTGAAAAGCACAGAGTGATTATCATTCCATGTTCTATAATTACAGATCTTATGTTAAGAAGAGAGGGGGTGGGGGTATCTAGTAAGTGTACAGTGTTCTAAAAAACCTGAATAAGTTGTGCCCTGATTAACAATTAACATGAGCTTTTCAATGACTCCACACCCTTCGATGATAAACATAACAGCCTTTCTTGCAGTACACACACACACACACTATGAAGCATACATCCGGTTGATGGCATCCTGGTACCTGGTCTGGATGCTCTTTCGTTTAAGCTTGAAGGCTGCCGTTACCAGACCAGTGTCAGGGGTCCATTGTTCTGAGGTCAAGTAGAGTGCTCCCGGCATCTCAAATTTCTCAAGCTTTGCTGCAGAGATTAAAAAAATCATGGTGAGTATAATAATAATGAACAAAGAGAAAAAAATTAAAGACTGTCACCTACACAGATATATTACATGTAAATACATTACATAGAAATTATGGTGTTTTCAAAGCTTTCACATATACAAAACTAGCTTTTATAATATATCTGATAAATCTTGTTAGAATAGGTGATCTGTGTAAATAACCTTGCTACTAAAGAACCCCTTTTAACCAACACTTACCTTTCTTTCCTGTCGTTAACAACTCACAAAGAATAGACTTGTTGATGTCATCATCCATACACAATTTCTCTCTCCTAAGGTCTTCTCTGCCAAGTGCCACAGCCAATTCTTCCAAGTTCTTCTGCACTGGGCTAACAATAGCAACAACGTTATTCTTTGACGACTCAGCATACACACAAATGTTCTCTACTAGAGGGCAGACCTTAAGTTCTGATTCCACTTTGCCTAAGGATACGTATTCTCCAATCTGTAGTTTCACCAAGTCCTTCTTTCGGTCTGTTGAATAAAAAAATATATAGCCCTCCACACATTTTGTAAATGGCCACACACAATATCTTTACACATCAAAATTTTATCTATTGTCTTTCTTTTGCCACACCCTCTTTCTGATCCTATCAGTTATTGTCCTCTGAGGAGAATCTCCACCACTTACCAATGATCCTGATGGAGCCATCCTTGTCAAACTCTCCAATGTCTCCAGTTCTGAACCACCGGCACCCATCCTCATCCAGGAAATCTTGTCTGGTCTTCTCTGGGTTTTTGTAGTAGCCAACAGCAATGTTATTGCCACCTACAAAAAAAAAAAAAACAGGAAAAACAAACAGAATTAGAGAAAATAATCACCCTATGCAAGTGCTTAAGTAACATTTTCAGCTTCAGCAAATTCATTCTAAAACTAAAGGAAAAAACTACAAAACTTCAAATAGAATAATTCTACATGTTTCAAAGTAAGCAAATCAAGGTAAGTGGTCTTCTTACCTATGATAATTTCTCCTCGTGGTCTTGGTTTGTCTGTGATTCTGTAATTGCCTTCTTCCCAGTTAACGAGCTTAATTTTGCACACTGACAGAGGAGCACCAACTCTGCCTGTAGTCATGTCTGTGTCATCCATGAGAGTAGCACATCCACAGGTTTCTGTGAGACCATAGCCCTAAAAAAAAGAGAGTAATAACATTAAAAGCTAAAAAATAAGTTTCCCATCTTTACTATAACTATTTTCTTTGAATTTATTTCACTAGCAATTTCGAGGGATACAGAACAAAACTTCATAAACAATGCATAAAAGATTGTTTCATTCATAGGAAGACCAACTAACCTGCAACACTGGTACACCAAGAGTGGCACGCACAAAGTCGTGAGTGTCGGGGGAAAGTGGTGCTCCACCGCTTGCAACCAATCTTAATCTTCCGCCCAACAATGCCCGAATCTTGCGGAAGACAAACCTAGGAGAAAAAATCTAAAGTTATACACAAAGACATATAGTCATACACAATTCAGACTGATGTGCTAAGCACCTAACAAACGCACACTAAAATTTACCTGAAGTCATTCAGTTCCAAAAGAGAAACTTGCTTACCAGTTACAAATGGGAGTCTCAAACCCACGTCGCAGCCAGTTGAGCTTGTACTGTAAGGCAAAGTCAAAGAGTTTCTGGAGCCATGGGCCTTGCGCAGCTACCTTGTCCAGGATTCCCTTGTAGATTCTATCCAGAATAAGCTGTCAAGAGGGAGAGGTGCCATTATATAATGTTCCCAAAGGACATGATGATTATAAGCTCAAATTTATCAGTATGCATTACTACTACAACAAACTGGAATGAACATAACATCTTTAATCTACAATCTGCCCTGATGTGGAATGTAGTTACTCATATGCTTGCTGAAGACAATCAAAACAACAAACCAACACACCTTGCTGTGAAATTTCTTGTTCTCAAACACACACCTCTTACCAAACACATATCTCTTCTTCCCCCAACTGTCAGTCCCACCTCTCTGAACCCAAGAACCAAAATCGTTACAACAGTGGAAAAAATCCATGTTCATTGCACCATGCTCCTTACCGGGACAGCAGCCATCATTGTTGGTTTGAGAACGGTGCAGTCGCCAGAGCAGCCTCTCTTTATCTTGCTCGACCTGTCAGTCATGGTCAGTGGTGTGGAGTAGCCCATCGGAACACCAAACATGAGCATCATGGATTCTAGAAAAAAGTTTCATTAATCTTCATCAGTATTTTCCAAAGCATACCTTTTGATAAATAAATAAATAATCAATCTTTAATATCATCAAATTCCAAATAAGATGTCAATGTCACTCATAGATTACAAAATATACTAGAAGCACGCAGAAAGTGCATACCTCCGCCAAGGCAATAGGGTTACTGGTGCAATAAAGATGTTCACAAATGTAGAATTACATTAAATTCACCTCTTTCTCAAGTACAATGGTGACATCTATGTTTCCCTATCTCGCAATGCTACTGAATCCTTTAAAAAATTCCATGGCTGCGGATCACCACCAATATTCAATGATATCTAAGTTGAGCTAAGACGCAAAAAAAATTCATAAAAATCTGTTCATAAATTTTAAACTAACAACACTACCAAAAACGTAACCTCCTTGGCAGAGGTAAATGAAGAGAGAAAAAGAAAAATCGCAGAAAGAGAGACTAAATAACAAAAAATTCGCACCAGCCATGAGTTCAAGGACGTGTGCTAGGGGTAGATAGGCCAGGTAGACGTCATCCTTCTGGATGTTGAGTCCCACAGCATAGCCAATGATGGCATTAACCAGGTTGAAGTGTGACATGATTACTCCCTTGGGGTTCCCAGTTGATCCAGACGTGTACATGATGATGGCTGTGTCATCCTCCGTGGGTGGCACATCTGGGGGCGGAGTGGATCTTTTTTAGGGTGGACAAAGTGAAATAGAAACATACTGCAAAACTGTCCTTTTGCAGTGACTGTGACAGAAACTGAGATCACATGGTAGGTTAATGAGGTATGGAATAAAAAAAATAAAAGGAACTTAAGAATGGTAATCATGATAATATAATACTGAAAATTAAAAATAATAACCAGCAATAATAACAATAAGATACAATAACATTATCAATGATAATTTTAAAAATACTAATAATAACTATAATAATCATAAGCATGCTAATAATAATAATAATGATAATAATAATAATTAATAATAATGCCAACAATAATAATAGTGATGATTATAATTACAACATTAAGAAGAAGGAAGGGAAAGAGGAAAAAACAATCACCCTAAGAGTAAGAATAAATAATAATACTAGTAATAGTAGTACCAGTAGTAATAGTAGTAGTAGCAGTAGTAGTAATAGCTGTAGAAGTAAAATGGTAGCAAAAAATTAATAGTAATAGTAGCAATAGTTATAATAATAACAGTTATAGTAGTAATAGTAGTAATATTAGTAATAGTAATAGTAATAGTAGTAATAGTAATAGTAATATAATAGTAATAGTGATAGTAACACAGTAATAGTCACAATAAAAGTAATAGTGATAGTAACATAGTAATAGTCACAATAATAATAATCATTATTAATAACAATAACAAAAAGAAGAAACAATAAGAAAAAATAAAAACTTCAAACTCAACGCCCAATCTATACATGCAGTAAAAATGTGAAGTCCACCAAACTGATGAATGAAAGAATCTAGGACATAAAACCTCGGCAACAACCACAAACCAGTTCTGTCAACCAAACAAGCACCCAAAATCTCAAACCGAAGCCAAGGCCATGCAAAGTCAAGCATATAAAGCACCTCAGTCGCTTACCTTTGACCCGAAAGGAATAAAACACGAGGATAGTTAATTTAGACGACAATGAAAGACAGAATACAAATTCTAAGAAGGAGAGGCATGCATTTACATCCATATATAATGATAATGATAATAACAATAACAATAATAATGACGATGCTTATTATAATAATGATGACGATGATAATGATAATCACAATAACAATAGCAATAACAAAAATAAAAGAAATAAAAACTAATATAATAATGATATTAGCAGTAGTAGTAGAAAATCAACACCAGCAATGACAAGAAAATACTGTTATTACTATAATCATTATTATTGTTATTATATATTGGATTAGCTTAGCTTAGTTAGCACTACCGTTCAAACTCTTAATACTGTGTAGCAACAAGCAAGATGTTCAAGAAAAGAACATTTTTGATCAAGGGCAATTTTAGAGGTTTATGGTGTAGCAAATTTATTTATCAGCCTAAAACCCCCTATCTTTACTGTTGCAGGGAAATACATTTGATAAAATGGCAAAGCTCAATGCACTACAGAGTTATTTCAGAGTTATTTCATGACAAATTTCTTCATCTCAAGAGAAAAAGAAGAGTAATGAAGTAGAAGTGCATGTATAAAAAAAAATATATACAAATTATAATTTTTTTATCAGGAATATCTTGCTTTGGATTTTTTTCTTCTATACCCAAACTTTACAAACAAGCATTCCAAACTGATTTCTGAGTCTCACCTTCAATACCTGGAGGAGGTTCAATCGGGAACAATAAGCGTGGCCAAAAGGGATGAAACGGAAACAAAAGAGGGCGAACATATTAGGAATGATAAGAATGGATACCATAGAGAGCATGAGCAAGGATGTGTGTTTTCTATTCTATTTTACTGGCGTGGTCAGACTGCATTCCTGCCTGACCTGTGAGACACCAATACATGTATTCTGCTTTATGAATCTTCAGTGACTAGGAGTGTATAGGTGGACACAACTATACATATCATACCATACACTAAACTCTGTGTACAATTAATCACTTTCCAAAGCAAGTAAAGAAAAGGCATATGCATACCTAAATCTAAAAACACTTGCCAATTCAATGAAAGCATGTGTCATGTGTGTGCAGTGATAAGTGCACTGAATATCACTGCATGAGTATAAAGCAAAAAATATCCACATACATAATTTTTAAAGCAAAAGAGAAGGAATATAAGCATCCACCTATAAATGTAAAAATGAGTATATATGACTGGGAATCATTACAAGTGCCTAGCTATGAACAGCTCTCAAAGCAAATAAGCATGACAAAATAAATAAAAAATAATGTAGGGTATTGAAAGGCTAACTTGAAAAGTCAAATTAAGCCATGTCCAAGCACATATTCTCAATATAAAATATATGATAAAAGATAAAAGCACAGTACAAAAGCAAAATAACAGCAAATTTATTAAAAAAGGAGGGCTAATTTATTGAAACAAACCTTTCAAGTTGGATTGCCTCTGCCAACAAGCCCCAATAATTTTTCTGAAGGCAATGTTGGACAAGAGAGAGATGATGAAGGGTAGAGAATTATACCCCACATCCCTCCCCCCTCTATACCTATCTTCTATGCTCTATACTGTTCCCCTGTCTGCTCACATTTAGTCACAGTTCCCTAAAGCCTTCTCACCTGAGTAGTCACTTGTTTTCCCCTTGCTGATCACCTCCTCAAAGGAGTTGAACTCAATGCCATCCTTGTAGCCTGAGAGGTCAGTGGGCTTCAGCTGGTCATGGAAGTAAGTGATGTGTGTCACCAGGGGACATTTGCTCAATAGAGTCTTGAATTTGGGAAGCAGCTCATGTGATGTGATGATGTGCCTCACCTGCCGTGATAGAAGATTTAGATTAGATTTAGATTTAGTTTTAATTCCATTTGTTACAATGGATATTCTTTGCTGTGACATACTGTCTCTTATATTTTGCCCAAATCTCCCCCTGTGTGCAAGGAATGGCCGGGGTTACCATTCACTGGCCGGGTGTGGGATTGAACACAAGTCTGCAAGATTGCTAGACTAGCACGTTACCACTGTGCCAGCACAGCACACGAGAATTACCTATACTGACTACGTAACTTTTAAGAATAAAAAGACACATAATTATTCAAATTTCTAAATTGGCAAAATATCTACCTATCTATCTAACTATATATAAAAAAGTAATAAAAATGTAATTTGCATTAGACAAAGAACTAATCTAGCATACTGATCAACCTTTCTCAAAACCTGCAGACCACACTAAACAATGAAACATTATGAAAAGACATTCACAATAAATAAAAAAGCTACACTACAACAAAGTTATCTTCCTTTTCCTCTAGTTTTACCTCTGTTTCATTGATGCCGTGAATGACAGCCTCATCACCCAGGGTGGCATAGAGCGTACACACGGGAATGTTCTGCTTGAAGCATCCCATAGCAGACATGAGCCACTCCTGTCGCGTCTCAGCAAAGATGACAATGTTTTCCCTCGGCTTGTGCCCAATGACACGCAGACCCTTGCCAAAGTTGTGTGCCATATCATCCACTTCATTGTATGTCAGCCAGGTGTAGTCGCCCAGTTCAAACTGCAAGATAAAAAGAGAAGGAATATTAAGGTTTGCAAAAAGTGCCAAGACTAAACATACATAAATTTGTAACTTTTATTAATTAACATTCATTTAGTAATTTATTCATTCAACTCATTTCATCATCATCACAATCATCATAATTAGGAGGAGGGAGGAGGTAAAGGAGGAGAAGGAGGAGGAGAAAAAGGAAGGAAGAGGAGGAAGAAAAGAAGAAGAGAAGGAAGGAGGGAAGGAAGAGGAAGGAGGAAGGGAAGAGGAAGAGGAGGAGAAAAGAAAAGAGAAGGAGGAGGAGGAGGAAAGGAAGGAAGGAGAAGGAGGAGGAGGAGGAAAAGGAAGGAAGAGGAGGGAGAGGAAGGAGGAGGAGGGAGGAGGGAGGAGAGGAGGAGGAGGAGGAGGAGGAGGAGGAGGAGGAGGAGGAAGGAGGAGGAGGAGGAGGAGGAAGGAGGAAGGAGGAGGAGGAGGAGGGAGGAGGAGGAGGAGGAGGAGGAGGAGGGAGGAGGAGGAGGAGGGAGGAGGAGGAGGAGAGGAGGAGGAGGAGGAGGAGGGGAGGAGGAGGAGAGAGGAGGAGGAGGAGAGAGGGAGGAGGAGGAGGAGGAGGAGGAGGAGGAGAGGAGGGGAGGAGAAGGAGGAGGAAGGAAGGAAAAAGAACAATGAAGGAGAAAGGGAAAAAATAATAAAAATTACTAATATACCAAATATACAATTACAATCACCTTTTTGAAAACCTTTCCATTTTTCTGGGTTTCCTCAAACTCCTCAAGGATCTGCCTGGTACCCAGAGCTTTCTTGCTGCCGTGCTTCTTGCAGGCATATGAAAGGGCCTGCTCCACTGTCTTGATGTTGGCATTGCGGATCTCCAATTGGAAGCCCTGCGGAGCCTCATTGCTGCCGTAGCAGAGGCCTTCAGACACTGGCATTTCTATGGCCTGTTGGACAAAATGGGAATGTCAGAGAGCGAGTCAAAAAGCACACTGGCTCTACAAAGTGACAAAACCAAAAACCCAATAAATGACTAAATGTTCGTCAACTATAACTGATCACAGAATCTGATATCGTAATGCTGATGCAGAAATACTGGTTCACTTGTCCTTTTAACTGAAAACTGAGTGTCAGTCAGTGAGCCAAAGAGCACTAGTGTTAAAGAACAACAAAGGCCCGGCTACTTTCCTGTGACGCTTCTCTAGGGCTACTTGATCACAAACCTCATTATACAAGTTTCTATTTCTAAAGCATAAGGCAATCGTTCTCATGAGCTCTTAAATGATAAATAATAATAATGCGTAAAACATTTAAAAAACAAAAAATAAAAAAATAAAAAAGGTCATAAGCCGGTGTTGAAATCTAAGAGATCACTCCGATAAAACTTTATCTTATCACTCCTAAAAATAGTAAAAACATCTCAAAGATTATCTCTCCTTAACTCTTCATATCATATTTTTTTAAACGTGAAAGAACTCTGGCCCATTCCTTAAAAAAGATATATATATATATATTTATCAGCTCTTTACCAACAAAAAAATACTCCACTGGAATGAGGATTGTGATATCCCGATCCACAGTGCAATGAACAGTTGAATCCACCACAATTGCCAGTGCAATCAATCAATCAATAACTCTATCCCTCTCTTTGTCATTGGTCTTTCTGTCTATCACTTAAATCTATTCCATCTCTAATCATCTCCCATTCTCAACTAATCTTTCAATATCCATCTCCTTTTCTAATCCATTTATCTGTCCTACCCACCCTCTCTCTTTATCCAAATTTCGTTTTCTATCTTATTTCTTCTTCTTTTTCTTGTCCATCTCAACAATATACCATTCGTTAAACCCCTCTGTTTCTTCCTCTCTCTCTCTTCTGAAAATTATCTCATGTTCCATCTTTAGGCCCCTTTCTCTCCCTCCCTGGCTCATTCCTCTTTCCCCTTTTCCTCCTCCCTTCCCCATCCATTTCCCTCCCTGACCCAATGGCCCTCTCCTCCCCATCCCGTTCGTGCTCCTATTCCCTTCCCACCTTTCCCTTTTCCTCCTCCTTCCATCCCCCTCCTGTCCCATTCGCCCCCCCCATCTCCCCTTTCCCCACCTCCGATTCCTCCGCGGTGCACCCTTCCTTCCCCTTCGCACTTTCACTCACCCTCTCCTGTCCGGCCCAATCACCCTCCCCCATTGCCCCTCCTTCCCCGACCGATTGCCCTTTCCCTCCTCCCTCTCCCCACTGAGCCGGGCCCCCGGGGCGGATGGGGCAAGAGGCCCTTGGCTCGCCATGGCTGCTGGACGATGGCATACAGCGGGTAAGTGACGATGTCGTAGACGAACACGCCCACTTTGATGAGGTTGATGCCGATGTTGATGGTAGCCTCGCTCATGGTCAAGCTGCAGGGGAAGAATGCCGGGATTAATGGCAAGTCTACGAACCATTGGCTGATAATAATGTATCAGTATGAAACTAAAAATGTGACGAATAAATATCAAAAGTGGTAAAGGAGAAACAAGGGGGGGGGGGGATAAGCATGTAAATAAACAACTAAATGTGACTCAATAATTATTCAAACCACATAAACAATAACCCATCAACAGCAACAACAGTAGCTACAGAAGTAGCAAAAAAAGGGACTATCCTTCCTGGATCAGTCTTATCATAATCGTTATAATAAGAGAGATAAGCCTAATATCAGTATAAATGTATTATAATTGTCAGAACTTTCCTCCTGACTACAATCATCATCGCCAACCTATTTTCATTCCGCAAACTACCGCGATACCAACATACATACCACCCTCCCATACCTAAGTCTCTTCGGAAGATGACAAGTTCCTTGGCATTTTGAAGCCAAATGCCTGTTAATGACATCGCCGTGTCAGGGCCCAGCGATCGGCACCCCCCCTCCCCCTCCGAAGCCCGAAAGGTCGCCATGCTACCGCGCGCCCGCCAGCCTTAAAAAGGGCAGCCATAGCACCATACATCGCCTGATCCCGCGAAGGTTGCGTCATCGCCGAGCTGAGTTCACCGTGACAACCGTCGGAAGGCGAGGCACGAGAACCGGTAATTCACTGAAGCAGGAGAGCATATTCACGCATATTCACGCATATTCCGATGTCGCACCTTCTTGAGAACGACCCGACGGCCCCACCACCGGCCGGCACCCCAGCGCCGCCCGGCCCACGCGCGCTCGGGGTCGTGGCCGATCGGGCCACGTACAAACGAGGGCAGCCCGCGTGGCACCACCAGGGCCACTTAACGATTTAATTACTGCCAATCTGCTGACAAATGCATCACCCGAGCCACGCAAAGGCCACAACTTTCTCGATCAAGATTGAGATCAAGACTGCAAGCCATCCGTAAACGAAAGGCATTGCCGTTTTAACAACGATCGATTTAAAAGGGGCCGCGGAAACAATGGCACTCGCGATGACACCGACCGAGTCCACAGAAAGGATTTACTTGTTTATCATTAGAACATGAGTCCCATTTCCAGCAGATTATCAATGGCGATAGGGTTTCCAGCTCTAAAATGCAGTTATCAAAACATTGAAAAAAGCACAAGGCCTTCCATGCCAAACCGAGTCACTCCAAGGAAGCAATCATAAACATATCAATTTATATTCAAAACTAAAAAATGATCCCTTGAGCACTTTGTTTGGGCACCACAGCTTGCGATCTGATGTTTGCTTTGGACTTGAGACACTCTCCCCTGGAAGCACTTCCCCGAGAGAGAGAGGGAGGAGGACAGGAGACTAGACAGTTGGGGCGAACGAGAGCGAAAGCGAAGAGTGAGAGAGTGAGAGAGAGAGAGAGAGAGAGAGAGAGAGAGAGAGAGAGAGAGGAGAGAGAGAGAGAGAGAGAGAGAGAGAGAGAGAGAGAGAGAGAGAGAGAGAGAACAGACACAGAGAGACAGAACAGAGAGAAAAACAGACACAAAGAGAAAAACAGACACAGACAGACTAAAAGACAGACAAACAGACAGAGACAGACAGGCAGATAAATAGATAGACAGACAGACAGAAAGAGAGAGAAGGGGGCGCAGGTTCACACAGATAATGGCAACGTGAGAGCGCCCGCTTACTCCCACAGGCGAACGCGAGCGTGCACCGTAGTACGAGAACGAGGAAGAGAACACGCAAAAAAAAAAAATAATAAAAAAAAAAAAAAATACCGCCACACCAAACAGAAACATCCATGACAAAAACCAAAAAAAAAAGAATACACGGGGAAATGAACGAACAAACACACAGATAAATACAGACAGACAGAAGCACGGATGAATAAAAAGGAGGAGAGGAGACAGAAGCGCCCGTGACCTCAGCGACCAAGCCTCCCGCAGAAGACAAGGGCCCGGCAGTCCGACCCGACCGCCGAACAGGTGTACGCAGAAGTGGGAGGGCAGGGGCAGGGGGAGGAGGGGCAGGGGGGAGGAGGGGGAGAGGGGGAGAGCAGGTGGCGTGGGTGGCGCGAGGTGGCGTGACTACCCTGCACCTGTTGTGGGCGTGGGGGGGGGGGGGCGGGGGGGGGGAGGGTTAGGGAGGGCAGGAGAGAAAGGGGTGAGGGGGGGTGATGGGGTACGGGCGTGGGTGTAGTTAAGAACAATGTTAATGCAACGGGGGTCGTGGAATGCACCGCCGAGGTCGTACTGCGGAGGGGGGTGAGGTGAGGGTGAGGGGGTGGGTGGGGGGGTGAAGGCGGGAGGCAAGGATAGGTCAAGGACAATTAGAGGGAAGGTCGCAGGTGCTTTCGCCTTCGGAAGGAACACGTGAGAGTGAGAGGTCAAGATAAATGCGATCGAAAGAGAGAGAGAGAGGGAGGGGAGAGGGAGGAATAAGGAGGTGAGGGAAGGAGAGAGGTAGGGAAAGGAGAGAGAGGAGAGGAAGAAGGAGAGAAAAAGAAAAGAAGAAGAGAGAAAAAAAACACACACCAAAAAGACGTAAAAAAAATCAACCCGCCATTTTTGAATCGACCAACCCAAACCTGGAATCCCCCTCCCCCCACCCCCACCCCCCCACTCAAAAAAAAAAATCAGAATCCCCGCCTTTCGTCCCGACTCCGCTAACCGAACGCACGGGGGCCGCTCCTCCCTCTACGGACGCCGAGCTCCCAATGAACGCAATCATCGGAGCGTATAAAGACGTTAACGCTTTTTTTGGCTTCCTTGACGTTCAAATTTGAAACCGAAAGTTGCGTGCGAGCCAACGTACGGGACCGAGATTCGCTAACGACGGTAATAAGACCGAAATAAATAAACAGAAAGGATAAGCAAATAAATGGAAACAAATAATCAAATCCGTTTCAGGTCGCGCACAAAAGGCGCCAGAAAACAAGGAAGCGGCTCAGCTGCTGTCAAAACGCCAAAAAGAAAAAGAAAAGCAATAGAGGAAACTAAAGAGAACGAAGAAAATGAGAGACTGAAAAAAAAAAGAAAAGAGGAAAAGGAGAGAGAGAAAAGAAGAAAAGAGAGAGAGAAAAAGAAGAAAAGGAGAGAGACCCAAAAGGGAAAGGGCATACAGACACAGATTAAATAAAACAGCGAAAGAAGGAGGGAGGAATGGCAGAGGCGAGCCAGAGAGGGCGAGGGCGCGCCCAAGCCCGCCCAAGCGCGCCCAAGCCCGCCCAGCGCCTGGCCGAGAGCGCCTGCAAGCAAGCACTGCCCTGTCATCGTCGACCTCCAGGACTGTTACCAGGTACTCTGTCTGCTGACCCTCCCGCGCCCCCGCACTCGGAAGGGACCTCCTTCTCGTCAAGGAAAGTTGCCTTATTGACGCACATAAACAGAAACACACACACACACACACACATTGACATACATAAACATAAACACACACACATAAACAAGACACACACACACACATTGACGCACATAAAAAGAAACACACACACACACACACACACACACACACACACACACAACACACACACACACACACACACACACACACA